TATATCTAGTTAATTATAGTCAAAAGTATATTTGTAGAATTTCCTCTCTTTAAGCCCAAGGATTCAAAAGTAATTTATATATGAAACTGAAATAATGTGTGAATTAGCTGTTTACATGTTGTTACTGTGAAGAGTTTTAAATTTAAAATGAATTAATTTAAAAGGTCAGTTTTAATATCAGAGTTATTTTAGATGTACTCAGTGATACAAGCTACCTTAATCAGATACTCAATTTTGCATTTGTCTTAGTTTTTTAAATATCAGCTCTTTACCAAATTACTTTTCTAGAACTGTCGTTCGCAATCTTTGTGTTGATTAGAATCATCTGTAGAATTTTTTTAAATAAAGATTCCTGAAAAAAAAAAATCCTGGACTTCTGGATATTCTAATTCAATCGTTTGGGCATCAAGAACATGCATTTTGAGACGGAAGATGGCGGCAGTATAGGCAGACGCGTCCCAGGTCGTGTCCCGGAGCAAATGGAGTGAGCAGCTGAAACTAGTAACATCCACCCCGAATTGTCGAATGGATAAAAAAACATGACCTATACATCTGCTGTCTACAAGAAACCCACCTCATTAGAAGGGACTCACACAGACTGAAAGTGAAAGGATGGAAAAATATCTTTCAGGCAAATGGAAAGGAAAAGAAAGCTGGGGTAGCAATACTTATATCGGACAAAACAGACCTCAAAGTGAAGGCCATAACAAGAGATAAGGAAGGCCACTTCATAATACTAAAGGGATCAATACAACAAGAAGATATAACCCTGGTAAACATATATGCACCCAATGCAGGAGCACCCAAATTCATAAAAAAAACTCCTGGAAGATATCAAAGGAGAGATCGACAACAATACAATCATAGTAGGGGACTTTAATACACCACTGACAGCACTGGATAAGCCCTCTAGACAAACAATCAGCAAAGATACAGCAATCCTAAATGACTCACTAGATCAGATGGACTTAATAGACATCTTCAGAACACTTCACCCCAAAGCCAGGGAATATACATTCTACTCAAATGCTCATAAGACATATTCAAAAATAGACCATATATTGGGTCACAAGCAAAGTACCCCCAAATTCAAGAAGATTGAAATCATAAAAAGCGTCTTCGCAGACCACGATGGCATAATATTAGAAATAAACTACAATAAAAACAACCCAAAATACTCAAACACCTGGAAGCTGAATAGCATGCTATTAAATATTGATTGGGTTACCAATGAAATCAAAGAAGAAATTCGAAACATCCTGGAAACTAATGACAATGAAAACACAACAATCCAAAACCTATGGGACACAATGAAAGCAGTCCTGAGAGGGAAGTTTATAGCTCTACAGGCCTATCTCAAAAAACAAGAAAAAATGGTAGTAAATCATCTAACTCTACAACTCAAAGAATTAGAAAGAGAGCAACAAGAAAACTCCAGAGTGAGCAGAAGGAAGGAGATAATAAAGATTAGAGCAGAAATAAATGACATAGAGACCAAAAAAACAATACAGAAAATCAATGAAACCAAGAGCTGGTTCTTTGAAAGGATAAACAAGATTGACAAACCTCTAGCCAGACTCACCAAGAAGCAAAGAGAGAGGACCCAAATAAACAAAATCAGAAACGATAGAGGCGAAATAACAACAGACCCCACAGAAATACAAATGATTGTTAAAAAATACTATGGACAGCTCTACTCCAACAAACTAGACAACCTGGAGGAAATGGACAAATTCCTAGAAAAATACGACATTCCAAAACTCAATCAGGAAGAATCTAAAAATCTCAACAGGCCAATAACTATGGAAGAAATTGAAGCAGTCATCAAAAAGCTTCCAGCAAACAAAAGCCCAGGACCAGAAGGCTTCACAGGGGAGTTTTACCAAACATTCAAGGAAGAACTAAAACCTATCCTCCTCAGACTACTACAAAAAAATTCAAGAGGAAGGAACACTTCCAAGCTCATTCTATGAAGCCAGCATCACCCTAATACCAAAACCAGGTAAAGACAACACAATGAAAGAGAATTACAGGCCAATATGCCTCATGAACATAGATGCCAAAATCCTCAACAAAATCTTAGCAATTCGGATCCAGCAGTACATCAGAAAGATCATACACCACGAACAAGTAGGATTTATCCCAGGGATGCAAGGATGGTACAATATCCGCAAATCAATAAACGTGATACATCACATAAACAAACTGAAAGAAAAAAAACCACATGGTCATATCAATTGATGCAGAAAAAGCATTTGACAAAATTCAACACCCATTTTTGATAAAAGCTCTCAGCAAGGTGGGAGTAGAAGGATCATACCTCAACATAATAAAAGCCATATATGACAGGCCCACAGCCAACATCATACTCAATGGACAAAAACTAACACCATTTCCCCTAAGAACAGGAACAAGACAGGGATGCCCCCTCTCACCACTCCTGTTCAACATAGTACTGGAAGTGTTAGCCATTGCAATTCAGCAAGAAGAAGAAATAAAAGTCATCCAAATTGGAAAAGAGGAAGTAAAACTGTCCTTATTTGCAGATGATATGATATTATACATACAAAACCCTAGAGACTCCATCAAAAAGCTACTAGACTTAATACATGAATTTTGCAATGTAGCAGGATACAAAATTAACCCCAAGAAATCTGAGGCATTTCTATACACCAATAGTGAACTTTCAGAAAGAGGGATTATAAAAACAATCCTGTTTACCATCGCACCAAAAAAATTAAGCTACCTAGGAATAAACTTAACTAAAGAGGTAAAAGACCTCTACTCAGAAAACTACAGGACGTTGAAGAAAGATATAGAGGAAGACATAAACAGATGGAAGAACATACCGTGCTCATGGATTGGTAGAATCAACATCATTAAAATGTCCATACTACCCAAAGCAATCTATAAATTCAACGCACTTCCCATTAAAATACCAACGGCATGCTTCAGAGATCTAGAACAAACTCTCCAAAAATTCATCTGGAATAAAAAAAGACCCCGAATAGCTGCAGCAATCCTGAAAAAGAACAAAGTAGGTGGGATCTCAATACCAGATATCAAGATGTATTACAAAGCCACTGTTCTCAAAACTGCCTGGTACTGGCACAAGAATAGGCATATAGATCAATGGAATAGAATAGAGAGCCCAGAAATCGGCCCGAACCAATATGCTCAATTAATATTTGACAAAGGAGGCAAGAACATACAATGGAGCCAAGATAGTCTCTTCAATAAATGGTGTTGGGAAAATTGGACAGATATATGCAAGAAAATGAAACTAGACCACCAACTTACACCATACACAAAAATAAACTCAAAATGGATAAAGGACTTAAATGTACGACAGGAAACCATAAAAATTCTAGAAGAATCCAAAGGCAACAAAATCTCAGACATATGCCGAAGCAATTTCTTCACTGATACAGCTCCTAGGGCACTTGAAACTAAAGAGAAAATGAACAAATGGGACTACATCAAAATAAAAAGCTTCTGCACAGCAAAAGAAACCATCAACAAAACAACGAGAAAACCCACTGTGTGGGAAAACATATTTGCCAATGTCATATCTGATAAGGGCCTAATCTCCAAAATTTATAGGGAACTCATACAACTTAACAAAAGGAAGATAAACAATCCAATCAAAAAATGGGCAAAGGACCTAAATAGACACCTTTCAAAAGAGGACATTCAGAAAGCCAAGAGACATATGAAAACATGCTCAAAGTCACTAATCATCCGAGAGATGCAAATCAAAACAACAATGAGGTACCATCTCACACCTGTCAGACTGGCTATCATCAACAAATCAACAAACGACAAGTGCTGGAGAGGATGTGGAGAAAAAGGAACACTTGTGCACTGCTGGTGGGAATGCAGACTGGTGCAGCCACTATGGAAGACAGTATGGAGTTTCCTTAAAAAACTGAAAATGGAACTCCCATTTGACCCTGTGATCCCACTTTTAGGAATATATCCCAAGAAACCAGAAACACCAATCAGAAAGGATATATGCATCCCTATGTTCATAGCAGCACAATTCACCATAGCTAAGATCTGGAAACAGCCTAAGTGCCCATCAGTAGATGAATGGATTAGAAAACTGTGGTACATCTACACGATGGAATACTATGCTGCTCTAAAAAGGAAGGAACTCTTACCATTTGCAACGTCATGGATGGAACTGGAGAGCATTATGCTAAGTGAAATAAGCCAGTCAATGAAGGAAAAATACCACATGATCTCACTCATTCATGGATAATAAAGACCATTATAAACTTTTGAACAATAATAGATACAGAGGCGGAGCTGCCTCAAACAGATTGTCAAACTGCAGCGGGAAGGCCGGGGAGGGTTGGGGGGCAGGAGGTAGGGGGGTAAGAGATCAACTAAAGGACTTGTATGCATGCATATAAGCATAACCAATGGACATAAGACACTGGGGGATAGGGGAGGCTAGGGGACTGTCTAGGGCGGGGGGATAAAATGGACACATATGTAATACCCTTTGTAATACTTTAAGCAATAAATTAAAAAAATAAAATAAAATTAAAAAATAAAATAAAATAAAAGAACATGCATTTTAACAAGCACCCAAATCTAGTTACTTATCCAGTTAGTTAATCCAATTAGTGGTGCTCAGATCATACTTAGAAAAATACTGATCTAGAAAACCCCAGTAGTAGCTACTTTAGGCCAATTCTTAACAAACTACTCTTCTCCCACGAATTCTAGGTCCCAGTACATTTCATTCCAAATCCATGATTCAAATATTAAAGCCATTTATTCAGTCAGTATTCTATGAAGGCCTGCAACACCACCAGCAATCCTCTAATACTGCAAGGCTTGAAGACTATGTAATTTCTGCTGCAGGACTCAAAAATGACATATCGAGGCCTTTCTTAAACATCATTCTCTCACTAAACACACCTTCTTGCACCACACTGGACTGCCAAAGCTAGACTCATCAAAAATTTCAGACTAGCAGTATTACTTACACGTGAAATATCTGAGAGGCAATATTTGTGCTCTTTTCCACTCTGAAAATGTTAACAATAGCATATGAGGGTTTTTTTTTTTATTAACAAACACATCTACTCATTATTTTCCCTCCTTTGCCCTATGGAAGAAAAAAGAGTTTTTCAAGACATTTTTAGAGGAGTAAAAGCTGATTATATCAATTGAAATATAAATTATACCATTAAACAACAAATGTGTGAATATATGACATGTAAGACATTGTGTATGAAGGTTTGGGTACAGGGATAAACTCTAGAACTTTAGGTTTATTAAAAGACCTTACTGGGTCATCCACATTTGGAACATGACCTATAAAAATGCAATCAACTTTCAATTATCAACCAATGATTATCCACTTGCCACTTCTAGCTATATTTTAGGTCACTGATACAGTAGTCCTATAAATAACATCTATCCAATTCATTTATTTTATTCCTGGTATTTAAATTTTGGTTTCCTGCTATGTGCTATTTAACTCATCTCCTAACCTCAGGAGACTTGAGGAATGACATTTAGCTTAACCAAGTTGATAAATTCAGGCTATTCCCTGTTTGGAGTAAACATCAAATAACTAAACAATATGAGCAGGATCTGGAATGTTGAAGTTGTGAGACAACAACAGAATATTATGAAAAGGATACAGTTTATAACTACTAAATGTCCTTTTTCAGGGTGCCTTGTACATATGTTGTGGTTAATGTTTAATAGCAAACTAAAATTTAATAGCTCCCGATCACCTAATGCAGCAGTTCTCAACCTGTGGGTCGCGATCCCTTTGGTGGTCGAACGACCCTTTCACAAGGGTCACCTAAGACCATCCTGCATATCAGATATTTACATTACGATTCATAACAGTAGCAACATTACAGTTATGAAGTAGCAACGAAAATAATTTTATGGTTGGGTCACAACATGAGGAACTATATTTAAAGGGCCAGAAGGTTGAGAACCACTGACCTAATGGATAGTCCAAACTCCTAAATATGTCACAATATCTTCAAGATTTTCACCAGAGGTGTTCTTCCAATCTCTGGACCTTCTACTTCCTTTTTTAAAGTAATCATCTATATTAATAAAAGAGAAAGATGCAAATTGACTGTACCTCCACGATGCCCACTAGCCAATCAGGCGTGAATATGCAAATTAACCCAACAAAGATGGTGGCGACCCCACCCCCCAGCCGCTTTGGGCCTCTGGGCAGCATGCATGCAGACACAGACCAGCTGGGCAGGGCGGAATGCCTGCTATGAGGGGGAGGGCAGGGGCAGAGGATGCTACAGGAGCGGTGTTCCAGCTGGAGTAAAGACTGAAGACTCCCAGCCGCAGTGAAGACTCCGGCCAGAGCAAAGGCAGAAGGCAGCGGCCAGATTGAATGCGTAGGTCCCGGGTGTTAGAGGAAAACCAGTGCCAGCAGCCAGGGGAAGGAAGGCCTATTGCACGAATCTTCATGCAATGGGCCTCTAGTTCTATATAATAAAGAGCTAATATGCTAATTAGGCCAGACGGCAGAACCACCTTCCAGGGTGACCTTTCAGAATGACCAGTGGGCAGAGGGCGGGGCTGTGAGGCAGCTGGGGCTGCTGCAAGGGCCAAGGCAGCAGCCAGGGCTGCAAGGGCCACGCCCTTTGCACAAATTTTGTGCATTGGGCCTCTAGTCTTTTAATAATTTTTTTGGTGCTGTCCATTTGCCAGGCAATTTTTAGAGTGACATTACAAGTAAATATATTAGTTATATTTTAAAGTAGGAAAACTGAGGCTTAGCCTTTTATCCACAATCATAAAAGTAGTATAAGATGAAGTCAAGATTAAAATTCTAGTCTGTCTGACTCCAATGTACATGCTTTAAGTCATTAGATTTTATTTCATTGTCTTCATATTCCCTCATTCCAGCCATGCACAACTAAATCATAAGTCTTCACATATACCATGACTTTCCACATCTTCATGCTTTTGCCCATGTTTCTCCTGTTTTTGGGAAGGTGTTTTTGGGGGGGTTTTTTTGCAGAGATAAAGTGATTTTATTTTTTTCCCCCCCAATCCTGCCCTCACCCTCACCCCCTGTTGTCCACATCCATTACTTATGCTTATATGCATGCATACAAATCCTTTGGTTGATCTTTCCCCCTCACCCCACACTCCCCTGCTTTCCCTCCAAGTTTTGAGCATCTGATCGATGCTTCTCTATCTCTACATCTGGGAAAGTTCTTTTTAAATCTTGTCTCTCCCTTCCACCAACTAATTCAACAATAATAAATAGTGCTAAAACGCTAATTCAGTGCTTGGCATTGTAGTAGGTAGGCATAAGAGATGAGTAGTGAGCAAGACAAAAATTTGGCCATTAAAGGGCTTATATTCCTTGAACTCCTCAATACCTGATGCATGCCCGGCCAAGATGGCTCAGTGTTTGAGCATCGACCTATGAACTAGGAGGTCATGGTTCAACTCCCGATCAGGGCACATGCCCAGGTTGTGGGCTTGATCCCCAACCAATTAATGATTCTCTCTCACCATTGATATTTCTATCTATATCTCCCTCTCCCTTCCTCTCTGAAATCAATAAAAATACATTTTTAAAAAATAAAGAAAAGCTGATTCAAAGTCACTGCTTTGATAAAAATTCCCTTTATATATATATTCTTTTAAAACTAATTTCTTCTTCTGTTTGCTCATAGCACTTTATATAATCCTTCACCATTGGATATCATATTGTACTATAATTATTTATCTATCTTAATCTCCCCCTCTAACCTATAATCTCTTTGACATAAAGACCCTCTTTCCTGCTTAAATCTGTATCCTGTCTTTAGCAGAACACTTGGTTCATAAGCAAGTATTCTTTGAGTGAGTGAATAGAAAACTAGATCAAATACTTGTCTGTTTCTATAGTCTATATAAATTAAACATTAAAAATATTGACTAGAGAGAAAAATACTATAGTTTAATTTATAAACTCAGTCACAAAGTGATAGTCACAACTCTTTAAAGATATATTTACATCTTACTTGGGTGCTTTCTGGTGCTCAGGTTTATATTAGACATTAGACAATAACAATCTAACTTGCATTTTGACCCATCTGCCATAACTATATAACTATTATATAGCCTCAATATATAAGGTAAATAACAGTATTCACCACAGTTGAAGCTTAGTTGTTATTAACTGAGAACTTAGACGCACAGCTGATGAAACTGCAAGAATTACTTCTTCAGTGTTCTGTTGTAATAGGAAAGAAATTACTATTTATTAAAAGTAAAGACATATGAATAACAATAATTATGCAGAGCACAAATAATTTACACATGCATATTAATTTCTGTAAAAATCACAGTATATTAATTTCTGTTAAAAATCACATGATTTTAGATATACTCAAATTTATTCAAAAGAGGGATATGGTTTTAAGAACTGAAAGGTTAATCTTACAACATACTTTATACTTACTTTTAATTGCTTGCTTTTATATATTTTGCAAATCCAAATTATCTTTAATTAGTTTTCATACAAAGATATACACATAAAACACCAACCTGTAGGGTAACAGCCAAAGTATGAAATCTGTATGTAAGCTTCCCTTTAAGAACATGAACTATGTGATAATAGTCTATTAGTTGTAGAATTATAGAATTTTTTATCTAGAAGAACCCAAATAGGAAATCATTTTCAACACCTTCATTTTAAAGATGGAGAAATTTGGCCAGGCCAGCATGGCTCAGTGGTTGAGCATTGACCTATGAACCAGGAGGCCAGGGTGTAATTCCTGGTGGGGGCACATGCCCGGGTTACGGGCTCGATCCCCAATGTGGGGCGTGCAGAAGGCAGCCCATCAATGATTCTTTCTCATCGTTGATGTTTCTATCTCTCTCTGCTTTCTCTCTGAAATCAATAAAATAAGTAAAGATGAAGAAATTTGGTGCCAAAAAGGTGAGATAATTAACATTTTGGTTAGCATTTTAGTTTTCAGTTAGTCCCCTCCCACCTCCACTTCCCCTGCAAAAATAGGCTTTTAAAACAATTGTCATTGTTCTCCTTCCCTGCCACCTTAATAATATACTCAGTTGTCAGACTATCAGATGAGCAATTAATTGGACAGTTTCTGTTGTTACTAAAGTAAACAAACCAAATGTACACATTAAGAAAGAGAACTATGAAATATTTAAAATAACTAGGAAATCAGGGGTTAATACACTGAATACATGTAAGGTACATCCTCAGACTTATAAATGACCAAAAATATTTAAGACATGATCCCAGTCCTTAAGTTATTTGCAATAGCTGACCCCATCACACCTTTCTAAATCTTCCATAACTTTCCTATACAAAACCTCTTCTCTTAAAAACAGTGCCCTACTTCACACTCATGAAAATACCACATATTTTTGCAAGCCCATAACTTGAGTCTTGCTTTACTTCCTGCCTATAATGTTTCTTCATCCCTTATGAAAGCTTACCCAGACTTCATAGCCCATTTCAGTTCAACCTATCCCTTAAAGCATTGGTTCTCAACCTTCCTAATGCCGCGACCCTTTAATACAGTTCCTCATGTTGTGGTGACTCCCAACCATAAAATTATTTTTGTTGCTACTTCATAACTGTAATTTTGCTACTGTTATGAATCGTAATGTAAATATCTGATATGTAGGAGGTATTTTCATTGTTACAAATTGAACATAATTAAAGCATAGTGATTAATCACAAACACAATATGTAATTATATATGTGTTTTCCAATGGTCCTAGGCGACCCCTGTGAAAGGGTCATTCGACCCCCAAAGGGGTCGCGACCCACAGTTTGAGAACCGCTGCCTTAAAATCTTCTCTGGTCTCTTATTTGGCCTTTATCATACACTAGCTTCCATTCTAAATCATTCATATATTGACATTAGCTTCCACCCAGATTATAATCTCCTGAAGGGTGGGGACAATTTATGCATCTCTGTAAACCCAGAAGTGCTCCCCATCTTTTATATTCCATGGCATACAGATTAAAAGTTAATATTTGTATGGCATGTTGGAGGAAACTCTCAAGGATGCTAGTGGCTAGACATGCTTGGCCCAAGGCTCCAACCAACCCAAACTCTATTTGACACCCTAAAGGCTGGAGGGATCAAGATCTTAGAACATTTGTAGCTTTCTTTTAGCATAATTACAAATAAAATTAGTTAAATTAAGATGAGATCATAGTGAAATAGAGTGAGCTCCTACTATAATATGACTGGTGTCCTTATCAGAAGACGGGCATGTAAAGACACAGGAAGCACACCATGGATGATGGAAAGCAGAAGTTGGAGTAATCTTTAGCAACATGTACAGTCTGTTGTCTACGATGGGACTACCAAGACTTTTTTTTCCCTACTGTCTTCTTTTTACTATTCTTTTTTTATTTATTTTAATCCTCACCTGAGGATATGTTTTCTTCACTGATTTGAGAGAGAAAAACAGGGAGAGGGGGAGAGTGAAAAATTGATATGAAAGAGAACATCGATTGGTTGCCTCCCTTATGTGTCCTGACTGGGGATCCACCCCACAACCTGAGTATGTGCTCTGACTGGGAAACGAACCCGAGATCCTTTGGTGCACAGGATGACTCTCTAACCATTTAGAAACACTGGCCAGGGTGGGATAACCAAGTCTTTTCTCCTCTGTTTCAAAAGAAGCTCACTTTTTCCATCAGTTTAGTATAAGGGAAAGCTAAGACAGAGAAGTCATAAGTTCCCTCCTATCTGTAATCTAAATCTGACAGTAGCCCCCACTAGATTGATGAAAAGAATAACATTTTATCTAGCAGCTTTATCATCAGCAGAAAATAGTAATGCTATTTTTCAAAATAATTATTTACTACCATTCCTATTTCTCCCATTTAAGTTAAAATTTAAAGGTAATCTATATATATATAAAACCCTAAGGGGCCGTCCAACTGTCCAACCATCCGACCGATAGCTATGATGCACACTGACCACCAGGGGACAGACACTCAACGCAGGAGCTGCCGAGCTACGGTGACTTGGCAGCTGCAGTTCTTGGGTGATGCACCTGGAACCAGAGAGGAGGGAGCCCGATTCCAGGGTGTGTCACCCGAGAACCGCCCTCTCACAATCCGGGACCCCTTGGGGGATGTCAGATAGCCGGTTTTGGCCCAATCCCCGCTAGCTAGGCTGAGGGACCCCACCAGTGCACGAATCTGTGCACCGGGCCTCTAGTATAATATAGAAATACAAAAATAGGTAAACAGAGAGTCTAGATTACTGCTACTCCAAACACAATTCTAATGTATTTGTATTTGTATTAATTGCATTTCTATTTTCTAAATAGGATCTCAGGCGTTCATTTTTCTTGTTATTTATAACAATAAATGGCCAATATGTAATGGCATTTATCAACTGCTCACTGAAACAAAGGAACTGTATCAGGGCTGACACAAGTGATTGACCTGATTAGAGAAATGTATATAATAGCTGGTTTTACAATTAATATTACAGATAAAGGACCAAGTATCAGGAAGTTCTTTTTGTTATTCCTCTAAAAAAATACTACATAAATCTTCTATAAATAAATCCTAATGATCCAAATGAATAAGTCACACACCTCACATGGCCAACAGCACCAAAAAAAAAAAAAAAAAGGTTCAAATCCTTTATCTCCCAGGGTATAGGTGCTTCTTTCCACGCAGAGTTCAGAACTTGAGATTTCTATTCTTAAATTTTATTCACAAACTGACTTTTCATGGCGTCATTGCCTATATAATAAATTGAATTTCCACAAGTGAAACTACAGTAGGGCAGCAGAGTGTATAGTAGTCTTTTCATAGCAAGATTGTCCCAATAATTTCTACACTGTGTAATTTCAGTTAAAGCTGCTAACCACAGACTATAATTAAGTTAACATTCAAGACTTCACTACACCTCTCTATAAAGTGTAAACACAATTTGGCATACAACTGGTACTTCTGAAGTGTGTGGATTCTCTTTCACTCTTACAGTTGAACTATCCATTGCACACTTTAAGTTCCATACATAGACACCAAGCACTGAAGGAAACAGGAAATATTATGCTAACATGACTATATTATTGATGAATAAAAAAACATAACCCCAAGGCTAAGCTGCCAAATAAGTAGTGAATTAATTTCTGTAAAGTACTCCAATATTACAAAGGTGTGTTGAAAGGTGTCTGCTCATGTTTCAAATTAAACGCACTGCTGGTCAGCATTAGCACCTCAGCTTTGAACACCAGCCATTTGCCTATAACACTTCAGGGGCTAGGAAAAACGGATTTGCCGTTCACACTGGAATAATTAGAACATGTCAGGAAGAATTAATTTCCTCATTTTTCAAAAGGATACACAGAAATTACCATGTTATTATATGACAGGGTCCCTTGGAGAATTATATTAAATTTAATTTCTAGCGCAGCCCACACAACAAATTAAAGTCATAAATAAGATGGAAAGAAGCGGGACGCAGAGCATATGTTTATGGCAATGAGTGAAGCCAAGGGACCAGAAACAACTATCTTCATTTCATTTTATTTAAATCAGCCAGACACTGTGTATCTGAATGACAGCACTTGTTAATGGTGCTGAGATTATAGGCTCCTTAATTTTAGAAAACAGAAGCAGTCAGTCAGTGTCTGAAATAGTACATTTCCTACAATGCAAAAATTAGTATAAATTTACTCCCTTTCAAGTCAATTTCTTTTTGCCCTGCAACAAGTTTAACAAAGATAAACTTATTTTTAATAATACTGTTCCTCTATTTGTCTTCTCTTTTGGCAATTTTTTGGGTCAAAAAAAAATGAGAAAAGTTAAACAGAAGAGTTTCAAGAATAAGTAAAATTTGCAAACATAAACTTTGTCCAAAATACAAGCTTCCTGCTTCATCCTTTAAATACATCTACCAATTTAGAACTGAGAGACAAAATGTGTTTTTTATATTAAACTCAAACTGTCTTTCTTACACTGCCTATCAAATCGGAGTAAAACTGATAAGGGTATTGTTTAACCACCTTAAAAGCACTAGACTTTTTAGCTATTCATTAAGTCCAAATATGCGTATGGAGCAGACAAGATTACTCAGCACTGATAATGTACCTACCACTCAATGGCCAGAGACGTCCCTACTTCCTTCTCCTCCTGCTAAAGAGTCTCTCAAGTATCACCGTTCTACCTCAGCTAGCCATGGGCAGTCAAAAAAAGGTTTTCACTCCTGGACCTATCATCCACTCTGAAATCAGCCCGAGCCCAGCATAGAAACATTAATGAAACTTTAATAAATGTATTATAAAATATGAATGATATTATTGATCCCCTCCCTTCTCCTTATGTACATTTTTATTTGTTATTTAAGTGATGGATAAAATAACAAGACTGGAAGCAAGTATATATGACTCTCTTAATTTTTTCCTATATACTATAAAAAAGACTCAAGGTGTCCTATAGAAATTAATACTCTTGCATTGAGACGTCAGCACCTTCTCCAACACTTAAGACTGGCATTTCAGACCTAACAGCAATCCAAATGCTTCAAACACCAGTTATCAAAACAATTTCTATTGAGTTATTTACCCACTCAAAATTTCTTAAGAATGCATAATTATATTATCTTTCAACATGAAATATACTCAATGTATAACAAATGCAAAAAAATAAGGGGTGATATTTAGAAAATTATTTTAAATTACTAAAGTAAACACAATGAAGAAAAAGAGTCACTGATAATTTGCTAAGCTTTTTCTCCTTCCAACATAGATTTAATCTCCACATATTCACCTACAAATTCTAAAGCATAAATGTTAAGATGACTCAAAGCCCCAGAAACATGCTGGCAACTTTATCGTGCTTAATAACTGAAAACATCCTTAAGGTGAAAAAAGAGTTTGTACACTTTAAGAAATGACTGTCGTGAAACTGAACACTCCCTGGGGTGCAACAAACTTTAAATAATTTGTGAATCAATTAACTGGTGACTCTCTTCATAACACAGATTTCACACTCCCAGGTCACTGCATTATCAGCCTGATACGAATCATAACATTTTGGAGAAAAGTTCATAATTGAAATCATTAATTAATTTAACAGGACTTTTAGTTATGCATTGCATTAAACAGCTGTAAAGGAGCAGAGATTAATTAGTTGTTTCTCTGACAATTTGCACTGCTGTTATTACTTGGAAAACTTTTCAACTTGAAAAGCACATCATGCTCTCTGTAATCTGGTAGTGACCTATCGAAGCAATTTAAAGTTGAAGGAACTGTAACTTTTCTAAAATAAAGTCTAAAACCTTTGAGGTGTTTCTTTCTCTAGAATAAAAATAAAAAATTTAAATATCAAACATTGTAAAGTCTGAACATCTCCAGATGTGAAAATGCATCTGGAATAAAGTCTAAAAGCATATGTATATAAAGCACATAGTACAAATAAAACACATAGTACAAATATATATCTTGAGAAGCTCACAAGATGAAGAAAACAAAGATATACCCAGCTAGCAGTTTCATGAAGCTAGTGAGATGATATGCATTTACATGTTTTGTATAGCCTTCTTTTTCTCTTAAAAGCAAAAATAAAAACTATTAACCATAAATAAACTGTATTTACTGCCTTCACTTCTTAGAATTTAGAAGTAAATCCATTTGACTGACCTACAAGTTGCCTAGCAAGGCTGACAAGGTACAGGTAATTTCACAAAGCACAATTTCAAGGGAAAGTGACTAGCAATTTTTTCAATAAATTATTCCAAACTCCTTTCATATCACATCATACTTGGCATAACTTCATTATTTTAACAGCTTAATATCTCATCTCATATGCTATAGTAAAAGCACTAAAAGGTATATCATGGAAATTCTAGTAAAATGTTTAATAGTCTAGAAAAATCTCCATCTTACTCAAATTAATTAACTAAAATTAAACATTTTCCAGGTTCCTATCAGAAAACAATGGCACTACTCAAAACTCTCACGTATTGTGTTGTTCTTTTTTCCAGTCTAATCTCTTTCCCTAACCCCTCTGCTGTACCCATGGCAATGATACTGAATTATTACAATTCTCAAAACATAGCAGGCCCTTTCAATGTCTGGGTACTTTTACAAATGCTATATCTTAAGCTTAGAATAGTCTAACTCCACATCCTCATTACTCCTTTAAGAAGCAGCTCAGATGCTAACCTATTTATTCATGAAGCCTTCCCCGCCCCCCCCCCCCCCAGTTCTCCCTGGCAAATTGCAAATTTCTATTTTTCTTACTTCTTTCATACCCTAATTCTAAGACTAATGTGCTATTATAATTTATCTCTTCACTTGTCTCTCCACTAGGTTTTTTATGCTGGCTAAAGGCTAGCTTTAGTGTGCTATTCACATTTAAATCTTCGATATGTCTATCTGAAACCTATTAAACCTTCTGTAAATGTCTGTTGATTATAAAAGGAATAAATAGGGAAAGGGGGTGGGAGAAGGTCAAAGAAGCTAAAAAGGGGATAAATGGTGATGGAAGGAGACTTGACTTGGGGTGGTGAACATACAATACAAAATACAGATGATGTGTTATAGAGTTGTACACCTGAAACCTATATTTTATTAACCAATGTCACCCCTATAAATTCAATAATAATTTCAAAATAAAAATAAAAAGGAATAAATAAATGAATGTGCACATATTTATTTCCACGTTTCATTTCAGTATTTATTGAGCATCTATTATAAATCAACCATAGTGCTAGATGCTTGACAAAATCTCCACAAATTTTTAAAAAAAGATAGCTTCTCTGTATTTTTTAAAACATTTAACCTCACCTACTTTTTTATTATTTTGTTTAAAAATTGGTAATTATTATCTAATTAAACTTGGAGTGGGTCATCAAGAAATAAAAACTGAAAATATGTTATTTCAGGATATTTTCTTTTATATCAAAGCCCCTTTGCTATGAAAGATCCCTTTCCCAGGAGTGAAATTAAATGAACATGTTAAAAACAGTTTATGCCTGTGGTTCTATCAAGGCTCCCTTATCTAGGCAATGTACATGAAAGTCTATTAGAACAAGTGTTTCCTCACGTGAGCAGAAGAGTGAATCTTTGTCTTTTCTGAGATAGCATTTTATAAAGTCACAATGATTACAGTGCTAGTTCCTCTTTTAGATGCATTATGTCCAATAATTCACTGTCAGGGGGAGGCAAATGGTAATGGTTTGTGCCTTGTCATTCACATTTTCTCACTTATATCTTTATAGCTCACTTATTTCTCATTTCAGCCACTACAATGGAAAGGATAAGTTGGCATTTTCTTAAAGTGTTGTCCTTTAAATAAGAATCTGTGGCAATTTTGCTCTTTAATAAGGGTGTTTCCTATTCCAACAGTTTATCTCAGAGTTCTTGCAAGAATTAAATGAGATAACATATATAGGTACTCAATAAATATTAGTCCTTTTCCATCCCTCTTACCCTGAAATGCACCCATCCCAGAGAACATGTCCTAAAGCAGGTTGTTACTATGGAATTATTCTGGCATTGTATACAGATGGGCATGCACTCTTCACATATATAATGGAACCATTGAATAATAGGTTTAAGATAGTGAAAAGCAAAGTATCTATCTTTGTTAGAAATAGTGGAATGGACAAACAGTGAAATTAAAAGTGATAAAGAGGCCGAAACCGGTTTGGCTCAGTGGATAGAGCGTCGGCCTGCGGACTGAAGGGTCCCAGGTTCGATTCCGGTCAAGGGCATGTACCTGGGTTGCGGGCACATCCCCAGTGGGAGATGTGCAGGGGGCAGCTGATCGATGTTTCTCTCTCATCGATGTTTCTAACTTTCTATCTCTCTCCCTTCCTCTCTGTGAAAAATCAATAAAATATATTTTTTTAAAAAAAGTGATAAAGAGTGTAGATGAAGTTTGCCTAAGCAAATCCTAAATTGCTGGTAATAGGTCCACTTTCTTTCAACCAATTCCTCCTTGTGACCAAGAAAGCTGACCAAAGTTAAAGCCTAGTGTATAGAACAAAACAAAATTAACTTCCACATAGAAGTCAAATTCATAACATCTGATGCATTTGCTCCATTATAAAAATTTATTTATTTTGGTTACCTTAGGAGGTACTAGAACCAATGGTACTTTAGGGAAGCGCTATCTTGACAGCATCACATAATCCTAAAATCCAGAAGAATCCCAAATCAAGAATAGAATCTATATCTAAAAACGTATAAGCTTTGATTCTACCTAAAGATTCACATTAAAATGCATAAGCAAAATAACACCATGGTAACATTAGATTTGTTCCTTTAGACTCAATAAATCAGGGAAACTGAAACATATAACCCACCAAATCTGCAAAATCTTTTCTGAATAATAGTGGATGTTGCTCTTCTTTATCCCCATCTTATCAGAGTATGCATATGCTTTGTTTCTTGTTTTGCATTTCATTCTACCAAAACACTCAAAATTACCCCATGATTTGTATATTTGTGTATCTGCCCTATGTGGTTGCAGCTATGTGTCTGTGGGTGTTTTTATTCCTTTTTCATAAATCAAATCTGTCTACCCACAGCATTATTTGGGAATTTTATCAACACATCTCAACCATGTACCTATTACAGATAATATTCTTATTACACTTTACTATCACTGAAAAATAATCCTTCTTACTTCCTCTAAACTTCAAAGCATGTTTTTGTAGTAGTATCTTTGAATCCAAGTTCATCTTATTCCACCTTGTCTGAGTACACTTGAAAAAGCTAGTTCTGGAATCTTGACCTTGAGTTCAATGAGGCTTAGATCTAGCACACCTGCCTGCTTTCAAATTCTCCTCTGGGGTAACATCATACAGCAATTACATATTGAACAAGTCCAACTCCTTGTATAAAGCTGTGCTTACAAAAGTATGTTTATAGTTAGTGTGGCAGAAGTACCTGAGTCAATACCAATTTCACTGTGGAATATTCGGTTTTCTCTTTAATGTTCATACAGTGACATTAGACATGTCTTACTCCCAAGAAGATACAAAGTAGATGTCAAATTTTCAACATTTCTTCTGAAAGTATATGTTTGGCTTATAGGAGAAAGATATACAAGAAGGCAGAAATTATTTCATTTTTTCTAAATCATCATTTTAATAAGCAGAAACAAGATCTATCTTCATCTTACTTAAAAATTCAAGAATCATCTTTCTAATAAAAGAATAAAGGTTATCATGAAAAATATAAGGATTGCATGTACGAATGCAAAATGAAAGAAAGGGGCAGAGGAAATGAGAAGATAGAAGGGAGGGTAGGGGGAGAGAGGAAAGTTACAGGAATGGAGAGGAGAGGGAAGAGAAGAGGTGGAGAGAGGAAGACAAGGGAGGAGAGATAGAGGGAAAGATAAAGAGACAGAGAAAGGAGGAAAGAGAGAAACTGTCTTGCATTAAACCTAAGAATGTGGCAGTGGTGGAGGATAGGAAAAGAGGTCTTAAAAGCCAACCATACCCATTATTTTCTTCCTAAAATATTTCCTCTTTTATAGAGAGACAGTGGAAAAATGAAGTAAGCGAATTACTTTCATGAATATTCATTCTTATTTCACTTAGTTTTGTGGAGCTGATAGCCCCACACCTTGCTTAAGAATTTCAGTGCTCACATTTCTGCACAGTCAAAGTGATTCCAAACAATTTCTCTAATGTGTTACACATATAAACAGGTTTTTCTTCAAAACCAGGCATGGTGGTCATTTTTTCCTCAGTCTTTCTCTTCAACAAACCTAGTTATTACAGAAAATGAAAGGAAAATTCCACTCTTCATTCATATTTGAGTTCCTCTGACTTGCTAAAATATCCTGTCCTGTAACATAAGATGTAATTCCATGAATACCTATTTTTTTCCTGAAAAGAAGACTTTTATAAGATTTAATTTACAAAATTTAAATAGAGCAAGTTTTCCTATCCATGGCTCTGAATATTTTTCTTTCTTCTATTCTTTCTTTTCCATTTTTTTTTACAGAGTAATAATTATTTCATAAGAAGTTTCAATTCACATTATTAAAAATATGTGACAATTATCATTTCAAGTCAGTTTTCTTAGCACCTATTTTTAATGCCAAAATTAAGAGATTATTAGAGTTTAAAGAAAGAGTATGGTCATTGAGACAAACAATCTTGAATCTGAATTCGACCTCTATCATTTACTGTTACTCTTGGGAAAGTTTATATATGACTCTGAGACTCAATTTCATCAATTATAAAAATGGGTATAACAATTTTCTCCCTCACAGTGTAATTATGAGGATTATATGAAAAAATTTTCATGACAAATATATATAAAACATTTAACACAACATCTGGCACAATTAGGCACTTAATACATGATGTTATTAATAAATTATATGCCACTACTAGAGTACAAGAGTTATTTCCTAATGATTTTACCAAAACAGGCAATGGAATTAGAGTCCTATGGTAGACACTCAGTTATTTAAAAACAATGGCAGACCCCTTTTTCCCTCCATTGACCCTGTCTACCCCACACCTAACCTCCTCCCCCCAAGGAATTCACCACACTATTGTCTGTGTCCATGGTTATGCATATATACATATAAGTTCTTTATTTTCAACAATAAAGATAAATTTTTAAAAAAAACAATGGCAGACCAAAGAACACAAATATCAAGACTAAAAAAAAAAAAAAACTTGCCTATTTTAATGGAATATTTTTCAAACTGTTGAGGGGATGATAATAATCAATTTTCTGAGTGCCAATCAGCAATTTTTTTTTTTTTAAATAGGTGATAAAGGAAGGAAGGAACAAAGGAAGAGAAGGAAATGAGAGGGGAGAAAAGAGAAAATACAACACAGCACATGTAATAAGGGTAAATATTGTTCATGAAAACTTTTTATCTCAGTTATATAACATTGCATACTGGGTCAGGATAGAAATTTCTTAGTCTGCATCATAATTAAAAATGTTTGAAACCCTCCTAACTTAAGAGGAGCTAGAACACATGAAACGGTGGCTCTCACATAACAGGGAAAGAGCCAACCACCTTGTTCATATGAAGGTTTCTCTAATTCATGGAATGTAGCAATTGAAGCCATCTAGTGCCCTTTGGGATATCTTGTGTTATCTTCTTATTTGAAAGACTATAAGACAAAAGTAGTTACCAATCAGTTTATCCAAGGGCAAGAGAGAAAGACTAGATGGCTTCTGAATAATCATTCTAGTTCTATAATCATGAAGCAAGGGATGATTTAAAATGAAGAAAAAGTAATATAATTAGAAGGATTTAAAATGTCATTCTTTTCACATTCAATAAATTCAAGCACTTACAAATAAAAGACCAAGGAAACCAATGATTTGTGGAATAAAAGGACAGCAAAGTATCACCCAACATGCTTTATTTAAAGAAACTCAGTTATCTCTCCTTTTGCAAAATATGTAAGATATGGATTGGGTGTGGGATGGCATGAAGAAAGCAATGTACAAAAGGGAGGTGCATATAAGCGATTTTGTTCACTTTGGTCTTATTTCAAACCAAACCAGTATGGTGGTCAGCTGTCAGCCAAAGAGAACAGGGCCAGGAACAGAGCCAATCAAGCTGTGTTAAGTAACCTAGTCATTCCACAGAAATATGTACAGCTCTTGTTCCCTGGCAGTACAGCTGGCAACAGCACAGCAGTAATTTAAGGGGTTTTCTATAGAGTGCTTATGAGTTTGATTTCACTGTTGGCTTCTTGCCATTGCAACCTATACAGTGGGTAGCTCTGTGAGTTACCCAACTATGCGCTTAGATGATAAAGAATCAGATTTTTCACTTGGTAGGCATGAAGTCAGCTGAGTTTTTACTTTGCCAAATGCTTTCTTTTTTTGTTTTTGTGAACTCCTTGGGTTAAGAAAAATACATAGTTTGTTTTGCCAAGCACTTTTCCCCTACACTTTGAGCCATGTATTTCTTTGGGAAACTAAATTCTTTCTATTTCACTCATAATTCATCAAACTGTTTTCTCTGACAACTTAAATCTTTAGAGCCTTTTAAATACCACTTCTCTCATTTTATCTCCATTACTCTCCTTTTTCATACTTTCCCATTGACAATAAAAAAAAATTTTTTTTGCCAGATTTGAAGTAAAAAGGATGAATATAATTCAATTTCTGAGGTTCAAGATAATGTTTTACATGTAACCAAATAAACTTTCCATTAGCTATTTGCAATTTCATATTATTTACTTCTGAAACTCTTAAAGGATGTTATGTAGTTTAATAGCAAAGGACTACTAGTCATCATTTGGGTGAACTGTCATGTATTTGGGAATGTTTAATTTTCAGTCAATTTAAACTGCTTCCTACATGCATATATCACCTCATCTTATATGATCCTAATACATAATATATTCCAAAACTGTTCTGGTATTAGAAACTAAACTACTCTCACCAGCGCTAGCCAAAATTATGGCGGGTGGGATGGGAGTGTAAGGGGAGTGGAGGATGTAGAAGAGGGTTAAGGGGGAATAAATGGTGCTAGAAGGAGACTTGACTTGGGATGGTGAACACACAATACACAGATAATGTATTATAGAATTATACACCTGAAACCTATATTTTATTAACCAATGTCACCCAATAAAATCAATAAAAAATGAATTTCTTTGATTAAAAATAAAATATTTTTAAATAACTTTAAAAATAATACTTGGGATATACTGTGAGGCATAGCGAATTAGCAGAAGAACTGACCTTCTCCACCCTTTGGCTCATCAGTGTAAAATTAGAAAATGCTCCTTCTTTACTGTAAAAATATATAAATCTCCAATAGGATGCCCTTCATTTATAAACAGATATACACCTCTATACCAAGGTCACCAGAGTTGCCCATTCACTCCTACTCCAGGCAGAATGCCCAGTTACTTTCCATAGCTAGAGACATCAGGAAGTCGTCCTCACCTCCCAAATTCCATTCCAAGGGTTATTTCATTTTCACTGCTGTGAACTGGTAGAGTGGAGGTAGAAAAAGTCAAATCCAACTACCAGAAATTCATCAAAAGTATATGATTAAAGGCAAATTTCAAAATGACATTTCAAACAAAACCATCTAACAGACAGTAGTTGGTTAGCTACTATAGTATTCTCAGTAGTATAATTCAGCCATATTATGGAATAAATGGGTTTCACTAGGTTGCCCAAGGAACCTAATCACCATCTATAACATGGTTTCTATATGACTATCCATTCCAAATTCCAAACAACAAACTTTCAGAACTTTATCTGTAAGTTGACAATTGCCTAGAAATACATCCCTGTGTATACTTCAAAACGTCTTTTTGTGAAATAGATAAAGGAATAATAAAATATTAGGCAACTATCAGCCTTTTTTAAGTAGGTCATTTGCTTTACAAAAAGGGAAGCATAAATAAAAAAGAAAAGTGAGAATTCAACGTTTAATTTATAAATTACTTTCTCATTTACTATATATGAAGTTTGGGATTTTAAAATATAGTACTTGGAAGTATGCATAAACAAATAATTATTATGGCTATAATACGTTGTTAATATTACAAGAGTGATAACCATGCCAATACTAGGTACTATGGGTAATGAAAAAAAGGCAGTTTCTAAAACTACATACACTATTATATTTTCCTGAATACTAGTATAATTGATTCAGATGCTGCTTTAAAAAATACACAAAGTTTCTAAGCTAAGGACACTAAGAAATTAACAAAAGTATAAGTCAGTCCATTCTCATGAAAATTCTTGAGCAATAACTAAATGCACACTTAACCATCTGTATAACCCAATGCCTTGTTTTCATATATGAGCAAGACTACGTGGATCCGTAAAAATGTTATCTGGGCAAAGCTTTGAGCATCTATCATCAGAAATTCTCATAAAGCCATCAAATATACTGTACAGATATGATGCCTAATGATCTAATAAAAGCCAATTTCTAATGATTAAGAAAAACTAGCTCACTATAGAAAAACAAACAATGTTAACAGACAAAGCCTGGATTCCAAGGAAAGATGGATGGACATGAATTATGAAGGTTTTGTAGGAAATAACACATAATGTTTTCAGTAAAAATTAGAATAGAATTTAACTTGTTTAAGAAACTGGGGGTAGAGGAGTGGGAGATATCAAGCCTTCTCCTGAGGTGTAACATGAAGCATAACTTAAGATATCATTATTCTCCAATTTTAATATAAGCTATTGAGACTTGTAATGAAAGGTCAGAAGTGTTGCCTGAAACCAACTGCACTGTGACATTCTCATTCATCTGCTGAGCCTGAAGCCCCACAGCAGCTGACGACTCTGATGTCCAATCAGGCTTTCCAAATCATACCCCAGAACACATGTGTTAGTGGATACCACATTGCACGTGCTCCTCACTCATCTCACCCAACCCTCTCTGCCATCAGTAATCCCTTTCGTTACCAGCATGCTATCCTTCAGATATAGAAATTGTGCAATAGAATCAGATCCCTGCTAGCCATCTCTGTCAGGTCAGCTGGAGACGGAAGGCCCACTCATTCAGTTGCATCTATTGGAATAGTGCATAATTCTGGGTATTATGCATTCTAACCAATTGTGAAGCCACCATTGAAGAAGCATGTTTAAGTGGTATGTCCTTGTTTGTGACTGGGCAGAAGAGGTAGTTTGTTTGCATTTTGGATAAAGGGGTGTGTGTGTGTGTGTGTGTGTGTGTGTGTGTGTGTCTGCGAGCACGTGCACGCACGCAAAAGCACATGTGCGAACCTCTGAGAATATAAGAGCTGCATGGAACATAGTTATCATTTTCCTCTTGAAGTATGTCATACAAATTGCTATGCTGAAATATAATATTTTATAAAATACACCATTGTCTTTGTGTGGAGGGACCTAATAGGACAACAGGGCAGGTCTCTCACACATCAGTTGGGGTGTGGAAGGACACTGTGTTCTTTCTTTGCACCCAAAACAAGTTAGAAAATAAATCTGTTTGGAAAAATTATCTCAGGTTTTGCCAAGGGAAGGAGAGTTAGGAAAGTTTGAGAGGTTCCTTATCCAGAAAAACAACAAGCATTCATACTAGACTGTATGTGTCTATCACTAAGATTCTATAGGAATGAGAAAAGTGTTCTTAACAAGAAAGTTAAATTCAAATGAATTTAACTGAATTTGAATTTAAATGAATTTGAATTTAACTTGTTTTTCAATGATGATTCTAAAGAAGGACCCAGTGTTTGAGGTTTTCATCAGAGGTTCTAAAAAAAACCAATTCCTAGTTCTTTGAGTGAAATAAGGGTAAATGGCAGTTCACTGTGTTGTGCCACTATGGTCTAGTATATGACTTCAACAGTACAATGATATTTTCTGGGATTTTGTTTTCCCTTAGAAAGAAAAACAAGAAGAAAAGTTTTCATATAATCATGAGTCATAGAGTAAGAAATGGACATATAAATGTTAGCTCAGTGTATAGTATCCCTGAAGAAAAGGAAGAAGCCCAGGAGATGTGCATGTCCAATAAAAATGGAGAATATGGCTATATTTCAGCTCAAACCAATATTCCCTTTTCAGGAATCATCCCCTCTGGCTCACTGCTGACAATCCATGGATAGCATATGAGTGAGATGAGTTCATGAGTAAGATAAACAGGGATGTTCCACGGCAGGTAAATAAATTTGTTTCCACTGAGATAATTATTCTTACCGTGTGTCACTACTCTCATGGCATAAACAGGACAGGTGATGACATCCTATAAAATGCAATTTTTATTCCTACACTCCTGACATCGAGATATATAACTCAGTCAGCTCTCATGAATTTTTTTTTTTTGCTGTGAAGCTATGAGTGGTTTTTTGTTATTATTGTGCTTGTTTTTTTGCTTTTTAAAAATCATTATCATCAACTGTCCAATAATGTTAAGAGACTGGGAGGGGGGGATGGGACTGTATTATTTTAGGCTACCTGGACCTATTAAGGACTACATATGTTATTATGTGAGATAGCTAAATATAGTTATATTACTTGGATTTTTAAAGATTAATATCTGCATTATATAATCCCTCTGCAATACCTGTGCTCTCAAATCAATGCCCTCTCCCAAACCTCACGTCCTTTCAGACCTAACCTAGGCAAGAAACAAGGAGTCACAATTCTTTGTACCAACAAATAATTTTTCTAACTATAATTCATTAGTACCTTATTCCAAAAGTATATGAATACTTACAAGATGGTTAATCCTCATTAAAAACTAAGATTATATGACATAATTACATGTAAATAAGAAAAATGAATTAAATTCTTACCCTTTCCTATGTCGGGCACTAGTTGTGAATCATATATACAATTAGAGTTATATTGCCAAGCTAAAAATATTGGTAAAGATCTAAAAATGACAAACAGTGCCTTTTAAATTAATGTCTTATTAGTTGAGTGAAGTACACTGACAAAGAATAATTTATGCTTATTCAAACTGCACTCGACATCTTCAGGTGTTTCCAAATGAGCTCACAGAAGAGTGATTAAATGCATCTGATAACAAGCCACACATTGCTGAAATTACTTACTGCCTCATTTTATGATTAATTAAACATGTAGATTAAAGTTGCAAAAGAATTTAGATTAATGAGCAAGTTAAGTCTTGCTGATATAAGTGAATTGGGAATTGGATGCTCTGTGGAACTTTATAAACATGCATTTTATAATGAATAAGACAAGGCTACATGCAGAATCGTGGCCACCAGGGCCTTTTGACGATGCAGTCTTTTTTAACATGGTTTGACAGCTTTCAAATAACATTCTTCTATAGGCTTTAAACTTTGTGCTTTGCTGTAAAACACAAGACTACGTAACTCATGTACCAGGAGTACGATTATTTTCAAGCTCTCCAAGGAAATGACCCCCTGGAGCAGCAGCTGTTCAGAAAAAAATTATAAGCTCAATTGTTATTTTAATCAGAAATAGTTTCATAGTTAAAAGCAGTTATGCAACTTGTAAAATTATATGACACCTCATCAGTACCTTCTCTTCAACACCCCTTCCTCCAAAAATAAAACCATCCCCAAAAAGTCATAGCTTCAGAGGACTTATTAGCAAAGCAGGGTGCTCAGTCATTCATAAAATATTCAAAGCCTTTTATTAGTGAAGTTTCTGTACTAGGAAAGTTTATGTTTAAATTTATGACAACTCTTATCAGCTTGAAGAGTGTGTCAAAATATCTGCTGGGGTTTGCTGAGTATCCAATTTTTCTCTTTTAAGATCAGTTTTACCTAATCCATGTAACTAGGCTGTGTCAAAAGCCGAGTTGGACTTTATTACTTCCCAGAACAAGAGAAATTCAGGTTGATCACAGAGATGTAGTGCATTCTCCTTTGCAAGGAATACAGAAGTGAAAATAAATTGATTCAAAGTTATTAAACTAGCTTATGGTTTCAAACCTATTCCATTTCTATTACTAAGCTGGTAGCACAATGCCACTTATTAGTATCACAGCATAATAAAGACACTCCTACAAATTCTTTGAATGGATCCAATCTGCTATCTAAAATATACCTTTAATTATTTTCTATTTATTTTCAGACCTTATGCATGATTCATTTCTTGGCAAGAGTGAGATTTTTAAAGTGTTAAATGTTTTCCCTTTCAATTTAGACTTTTTAGCCTCTAAAGCCTTACCAAGAAAACTATGGAAATTTTTACATAAGAATCAAAAGGAGCTGCTTCATGACACAGGTGGCAAATTACCCTCATTAACCCCACATATTTATCATGTGGACATAATTGCCCATTTGAAGATTTATGTTAATGAAAATATAATATTGAGACATAAGTCTCTGACTATACTGAAATTCATTAAAAGTGAAAATCACTTTTTAGGCAGACAAAACAAAATAGTCTTCATTTGATATGTTTATTTCAGTTTTATTGTCATGTTTTTCACTGAGTAATTTAAACCACATTATATCACCACAAAAGGTTACTTCAAGTTTATAAGCTTTCCCCCCTTATAGTTCAACTTGAATGTAACAGTAAGGTCTTCTAGGTAAAAATATGGACCCAAATACTTCAAGGACCAAATAATACACTTTTTATTTATATAAAAATTTAAATTCCTCATTTATATCCTTCAAAGGAGGAAATCTGACAACAAAGTAGTTATATTAGCCTGAAAGAAGCTAGATTAGGTAACTAAAAAAAAATTCCTTTGCAATTTTAAATGCACTTGGTATGTGCCAGAAGGGCATAGCTTATTCATACAGCTCAACAGCCACCAAATTTTAAGAATCAGGATCTTTCCACTCCAGTCATTGCCATATTATTTCTAGGCCCCACAAATTACGAGGCGTGTCCTGGAATTACTAATAATTTAATAAAATTGTGTCATTCTTAAGGCATTTTAATACAAGAAGATACATTTATTTCCCCATGAAAGTAACTTTTGTAAAGTAACTGTAAAGTCCTAAATGCTGAATATACTTAGCTATTATATGTAGTTATTTTAATAATTAGCATGTTTCAGTTTTTTTGATAAATGCTTTATAAAATTTACCTGCATTAAGTACATAAATTTACTGGTTATTTAAAGTTAAGAGTTAAATGTTTACCTGAAATACCAAAATAGGAACTTTGCTCTGAAATTTTGAATAAATGAGCAATTTAAAATATCCCAAATCAGCCATAATGTGATATAAAAATTCCTAAACATTATTTTCATTAAATCAAGATGGCAATTTATTGTAACATATTTTCTTTTATTTCACAACATATAGCCATGTGGGCTATGAACCTTGCATTTCTAAGAGGAGATTAATATTTTCTCTATTTCATATATGGATTGAAAAAAGTATTAAAATACTCACCAGAGACTAAAATGAGACGACTAAATTCATTTTTGAATGTGATTGGGCCAAGGTTTGTCAAGGTGAACTACAAATGCGTTAATATCCACAACACTGCCAAATGCTGAATTATTAATATTGTCGGCTGCTCGGTTTCAGTTCATGCCCTATAGAGGAGTTTTGTGAGATCCATCAAAAACTCAGCCTCTCAACATGTTTACAAGCATCCTGGAGGCAAAATGACTTAAACTAAAAATAAAGTGACTCTAACCAAGCAAACTGTCATCAAGGCCAGACTAAGGTTCATAAATGCAAAGAACTAGTCTATAGCAGAGGGAGCAAATGAAGCCAGGTGCCACTCCATGCCAGAGCCTTGACAACTCAGCTCCCAGCACTTGAGATACGAGGCAGAGGACTAACCGCGGTTCTTCATGTACCAGGATCAGCAGCATTACGTACTATACTTGTAAGTTGTTTGGAGATTTATAAAGTATGATTATTTTTTAAAATCAAAGGTTTCTAAACTTCACTCTGTACTTTATATTGTATCAATTCTATGATAGATAATTCAGTTCAAACTAATTTTGTTTGCCCTGGCCAGGTGGCTCAGTTGATTGGAGCATCATCCCATACATCAAAAGGTTGTGGGTTTGATTCCCCATCAGGGCATATACCTAGGTTGCAGATTTGATCCCCAGCCAGACACATATGGCAGGCAACTGATTGATGTTTCTCTCTCACCCTCTCTGAAAATCAATGAAAACCATATCCTCAGGTGAGGATTTTTAAAAAGTGATTTTGTTCATAAAATGCAAAACCTACAGCTGAAACTAATGTTATATGTCAATTATATCAGAAATAGACAAATACAATGGGTTGGAAACTTGGGAAAATTTAAGATTTTTGATACTCATCTGTCCAATCTTTCATTCAATAGCTATGTCCCCTATAAAGCAAGACAATAGAGTGGTGAAGGCTTGGGGCAGTGGGGGGCAGGGCAGGTATGGCTAGAAGGGGTCAATGGGGGAAAAAGGGGGACATCTGCAATACTTTAAACAATAATGGTAAATTTTTTAAAATAAAAAAGATTTAATTGTGGTAGTACAATGGTTTAGTTTGTATATAAAATTTAGCTAATAATCCCAATAATTTTAAACACAAGTTAAAACAAGAAAATGTATAGAAACTGGGTGTTAAAGTTATGAAGGCCTTAGTATTAAACCACAAAAAAATCAATGCAATCCTCATTTGCCACAGAAATAAGAAATAAGTGGGAACATTAGTTATACTCATAAATTATATATATACATATATATATATATTATACCTGGGCTCTTATACAAAGTGATGAGAGGTCACAAAGTCCTTCTTGAAGCATTTTCCTTTCCTCATCAGAAGATATAGAATGTCTAAAAAGAAGAAACTAATAGTTATTGGACCCACTATCTGCCAGATATAAAATAAATGTTCTCTATTCATCAGATAATCTTCCCAACAACCACACTCATTTTATAGATGAGGACACTGAGTCTTAAGCTAAGTAATTTGTCCAGAGTCACACCAATGATGGGGATGAAAGTAAAGCCCTAGAACGCAACTCCAAGGTTCATTTGTTCTTTCTGCTACATTATGCTTATTTACAGCCTATACTATTTTTGTATTTATGTTATTCTCTACTAGCTAGAATTCCTTTCTGGTTCTCAGATAATCCATCCCTACCACTTCCTTCCAATTTTTATCTACCCCAAAAAGCATGTTGTATTCTCTCAGCACTTTGTTTAAAAGCCTTTATTACAACACTTAAAGTTACAAGGATTCATACAATATACGTTCACATAAAGTTACCAATATTATCATCTATATTACAGCAATATAATCAGAAAATGGTTTCATTGACACACTACAGTATGTTTCTCCCATTCTACACTCCTCTATTCTCTCTCACTTTCAGATGAACTGTTATTATTGCTATTATTATCATTATCATTATCATTATTACTTTATATTACCAACCTCAAACAAATGAGATTGTTCTCGTGCTATTCTCTAGATCCCCAAAATAGTGTATATTTTCCTGCTTTTAATCTGCTCAAATGTTCTTATACTCCTAAACCACCTCTCTTTCCTTTCAATAAAAAATTCTACTCCTGAACATTTCATAAAAGGTGTAAGACACTCTTGATTGTTCATTTTTTTTGCAACGAATATCTAAGCACTTATTATTTACTAGAAACTAAGAACAGAAAACAAGATAGAACTTATTTGTCTAAGAGCTTACAACCCACCACAAAAAGATAAGTAAACCAAAATTTGTAACATAGATTTTTGCCATAATAAAAGTATGTAAAAGTGATATGGATACAAAGAATAAAAATTAATAACCCATCTGTGGAGATAATGGTCCAGAAAGGCTTCCTACTGAAGGTTGTATATAAAATAAAGTTTCATTAACAGGACATAGCAGAGAAATAACAATAGTAACCATCTGTTATTGAAATTTTTCTATGTGTGAAGCATTCAATAAAATGCATTATATAATTTCTTAATATATGTGGAGACTTCTGCTTCTGACCAAAATGAACAAACAATGAGCAAATTTACCCTTCAGGCTTAAACAACTAAAAAAATGAGCAAAATATATGAAAACAACAATTCTCAGACACTGACCAGCAGGCAATGAAGGACAGTGATTTCTGAGAAAGGAAAAACAAGTAAGTTTATCCTTATAGCTTACTGCATAAAGAAAGAAATTACTGCCCTAGCTGGTTTGGCTCAGTGGATAGAGCATCAGCCTGCGAACTGAAAGATCCTGGGTTCAATTCTGGTCAAGGGCATGTACCTGTTGCAGGTTTGTTCCTCGGTCCCTCTTGCGGGAGGCAACCAATGGATGTGTCTCTCTCACATCAATGTTTCTCTCTGTCTCTTCCCCTCCTTTCCACTCTTTCTAAAAATCAGTGGAAAAATATCCTTGAGTGAGGAGAAAGAAAGGAAGGAAGGAAGGGAGGGAGGAAAGAAGGAAAGAAGGGAGGGAGGAAAGAAGGAAGGAAGGAAGGAAGGAAGGAAGGAAGGAAGGAAGGAAGGAAGGAAGGAAGGAAGGAAGGAAGGAAGGAAGGAAGGAAGGAAGGAAGGAAGATATTACTGACTGCAGTGCACAGAGGCAGAGCTTCATGGTCTCAGTGAGTTAAGAAGATAGAACTGGGGATTCTAAGGAGACCAAGGTGGCTATAGTGCATAGGGCAGACTAAGAGAGAAGAGTTAGACTTCCAGAGATCTGCAGAGTCCATTATAAGAATTTAAGCAATTACTGATCAGCTAGCTCATGGGTACACATACGAGAAAACCAAAAAAAGTTAGAGCAAGATATCCAAAAGGATCAGAGAGGATAATCCCAGAGTTCACATAAACCCAGGAATAGTTTATTTTCCCATCATCAAAAGTATAAAACTTTAAAACACAAGGGGCATTGGTGAGTACTCAAAACAGTATTGCCTTGGTAGTGGAGAAAATTAACCTTACAATAAAGGCTGTACTAGTCTCAATTGACAGAGCTTAAAAGCAAACATTAAAAGGATCACATTTGGGGGGTTAGGGGGAGAGGGTATGGAGAAATTGATTAATAAAGATAGAACTCATGGACATGGACAACAGTGTGGTGATTGTGGGGGTGGAGAGTGGAGGTGGAAGAAGGCATATAGGGGATAAATGGTGATAGAAAACATAAAATAAAATAAAAATTATTTCCAAGTATCTTAACTGTATACCAAGAAAAAAACTACAAAAATATTTATAGAAATACAGAAATATTCAGCACTCAGGAAGGTAAAATTCACAATTTTTGTTGATGCCAAAAATAAAAACTACCAGCCATTCAAAGAAGCAGAAAAATAGAACCCATAATGAGGAGAAAAAAATCAATCAATTGAAACTGATAATAGAATAAGTAGACAGGGATATGAAAACAGTTATTATAGTTGCATTCTATTTGTTACAGACTATATTAAGTATAGACTTGAATCTATCATAAAGACTCAAATTTAACTTCTAGAGATTAAAAAAAAAACAATGTCTGAGATGAAAAATGTATTGAGGTGAATTAAAACCAGAGTAGACATGCCAAACAAAAGACAAATGAACTTAAAGATTGATCGATAGAAACAATAAAAATTAAAACACTGAAAAAATGTGGACCAAATCAGTGAACTGTAAGACAACTTTGAGCTACATAACATATGTGTAATTGGATTCCACACAAAAAATTGCAGTGAACAAAAGAATTTCTGGAAAAAAAAATTTTTGAAGAAATAATAGTTGAAATATTTCCATACGTGACAAAAATTAAACCCATACATACAAGAATTTCAAAAAACCCCAAACTCAAGAAACATTAAGAAAACTACAAAATAATCAAATAGCTTACAACCTGTAAAGAGAAAATCATAAAAGCAGGCAGAGGAAAATTACACATCATATTCAGAAGAACATATATGAGTTACAACAGACTTATTTTTTAAAATAATGCAAACAAAAGACATGGATCTATCTATATCTTTAAATTATTCAACAAAAAAATTAATCTAAAATTTTATACCTGGCAAAATAAAGATTTTTTTCAGAAATACAAAAGCTGAAGAAAATTTTACCAGCTCATCAGTATACATATCTTACAAGAAGTGTAAAGAGATCCTTCAGGCAGAAAGTAATGCTACCAAGTAGAAATCCAAATCTACCCAAAGGAATAATTACACTGGAAATGTTATATATATGGGTAAATATAAAATACTGTTTCTTTCTTTTTAAATCTCTTTAAAATACGATTGACTGCTCTAGCTGGTTTGGCTCAGTAGATAGAGCATCAGCCTACAGACTGAAGGGTCCCAAGTTCCATTCCAGTCAAGGGCACATGCCTGGGTGGCAGGCTCAATCCCCAGTAGGGGCATGCAGGAGGCAGCCGATCAATGATTCTTTCTCATCATTGATGTTTCTATCTCTCCCTTTCCCTTCCTCTCTGAAATGAATAAAAATATATTAAAAATATGTATATATTATTGACTATTCAAAACAAAAATTATTATTTTTAGGTTTATAACATATGTAGAAGTAATATATCTGAACAACAATAGCATAAAGGCTAGGGAAGAGAAATGAAAGTATACTAGTATAAGATTCCATCTTATAGCGTACGTAAAGTGGGACAATATTACTTGAAGTAAGACTATTATAAGTTGTATAGTTTTCTACAAATTGTAAATCTAGCATGAAATGTAGTAAAACAAAAAAAATGAAAGAAATAAGCCAACAAAAGATTTAAAATAAAATCATAAAAATTATTAATAAATTAAAAACAAAGCAAGAAAAAAGAATAATGAAGAGATAATACAAGAAAACAAAAAGAAGATTCAACCACATCAATATTCACATTAAATATAAATGGTCTAAACACCCAAATTAAAAGAGATTGTGATACCAGAATAAAATGTAAGACTCAACTGTATTCAATCTACAAAAAAACAATCCACTTGAAAGATGAAGAAACAATATTTTAAAGGTGAAAACATATAAACTATATACCATGGTATCACTAATAAAAAGAGTGTCAGTGGCTATCAGACAAAGTAGATTACAGAGCAAAGAATATTACTAGGGAAAAAAGGATTCTTATATAATGATAAAGCGGTCAAGTCATTGGGAGGACATAATGATCTTAAACATTTATTTACCTAATATTCACTTAGTTTCAAAATACAAGAAAGAAAATCTAGTAAAATTTCAAGAATTATTCATTTTTTAAATCTCAGTGTGGTAAAAGTCTGGGGAGAGGGGAGGGTAAAGGCAGGGGGTCGGGATGAAGGGGTCAATGGGGGGAGAAAAGGAAACATCTGCAATACATTCAACAAGATAAATTTTAAAAACATAAAATATATGGGAGAAGCCATATAACAAATGAAAAAATGATAGAACAAGTAGACAAAAATCAGTAAGGATGTAAAAGACCTCAACCAACTTTACCTAATTTCATTTCTAGAATTTTCCAGCCAACAAAAGAATTAGGAATTCAGTAGCAGAAAGATATCTGAAAAAAATCCCTAAATATTAAGAAATAAAATAATCAGTGTGGTTCAGTGGTTGAGAGCTGACTTATGAACCAGGAGGTCACAGTTCAATTCCCAGTCAGGGCACATGCCCGAGTTGCAGGCTCAATCCCCAGTGTGGGGCATGCAGGAGGCAGCTCATCAGTGATTCTCTCTCATCATTGATTTTTCTCTCTCTCCTTTCCTCCCTCTCTGAAATCAATAAAAATATATTTAAAATTTTTAAAAAGAAATAAAATAATACTTATAAACAACCCACTGATCTAAGAAAAAATAATAGGGAAAATTAGAAAGTATTTTGAACTGAATAAAAAGGAAAA